GAATTACATGTATTTGGCACAGTTAAGTGCCAGACACTGTAATGCCTTTCCGATTTGCAGCTCCATGACAGGTACAACTTGCACTGATGGATCCAGGATTCACACATGCAAGCACAAGGGCATCTTTTACTGTCATTATTCGATCTCAAAATCTATGCAATTCCATGAGTATAATGGATTTGTGTTCATACGTGTGGTGTCCGTTGCCTCTCGGACATCTGATGTCGGGCTTTGCAGAACCATTGATCCCTCCCACAGGCGCCTGTTCCTTCACATATGGTACTGAGTAATGGCTCAATCTTATATCAGTCCGTATTGGAGCTGCTTTCCGATCGACACAGCATTTCAGTGTCAAAACACTGATTTCCGCCATCACTCCACATCATGCCATGGCATGGATGATGGCGGAAGTGCTGTGGTGGTTTTGGTAGCGTTCAGTTTTGGTGACGGTGGCATTGGTGATGGCGGGGATGGTGATGGGAGCCTGGGATGCTGTTTTGCCATCCCCAGACTGCGGCCATGGTGACATTGAAGCGAATGCGTCGCCTAGGTTGTGGGGGCCCCCCGTCATACCCTTAAACACGCCCTCCTAACCATTCCGCCCCGCCGTGTTTTCCCCCTTTCCCCCCTCGTTTTGCCATCCCCGGACTGCGGCCATGGTGACGTTCAAATGAATGCGTCGCCTAGGTTGCAGGGGGCCCCCGTCATGCCGTTAAACACACCCTCCTAACCATTCCACCCCGCCGCGTTTTCCCTCTTTCCCCCCTCGTTTTGCCATCCCCCGACTGCGGCCATGGTGACGTTCAAATGAATGCGTCGCCTAGGTTGCAGGGGGCCCCCGTCATGCCGTTAAACACGCCCTCCTAACCAATCCACCCCGCCGCATTTTCCCCCTTTCCCCCCTCGTTTTGCCATCCCCCGACTGCGGCCATGGTGACGTTCAAATGAATGCGTCGCCTAGGTTGCAGGGGGCCCCCGTCATGCCGTTAAACACGCCCACCTAACCAATCCACCCCGCCGCATTTTCCCCCTTTCCCCCCTCGTTTTGCCATCCCCCGACTGCGGCCATGGTGACATTCAAACGAATGCGTCGCCTAGGTTGCAGGGGCCCCCCGTCATGCCCTGAATTACACCCTCCTAACCATTCCACCCCGCCGCGTTTTCCCCC